ACTTGCCTAATGAGAGTGAGGGTGGAGTTTGATTCAAGCAGTTTGTTCAAAGAGGAGGTGTGGTCTGGGCAGAGGCAGGAGAGCAGGGTCATGCTGATATGTCACTGGGAAAGTAGGCAAATGGGAAAACATAATTTAGTTTCATAGGCAAGTTTCTGAATCTGTCTGGTGTATGCCCCTTTGACTTACAACTTTTATTCTAAAAGAGTTTTGAAACACTTAAGGAACAACCAAACAAATAAGCAATCTATGCAGGCTGTCAATCTTCCTTCCTTCCTTTCTTTTTCTTTTATTCTCCCTTTTCTCCCAACAGTTAGTTTCCTTTCTATTTTTCTCATGGAGACCATTATAGCATTTAGACTTCCTTTATTATTTTATTTTATTTGTTTATTTTGATGTGGTGCTGAAGATCAAACCCAATGCCTCATGCGTACTAGGCAAGCGCTCTACCAGGAGCTACAGCCCCAACCCTAGACTTCCTTTTTTTCTAATTGAAATTTTACTTGTTCATTCTTTGCACAGGTAAGTAAAAAACTATGGAAGAAACCTTCAAATCAACAAAAATGGTGGAGTGAGGTAGGTGGCCTGAGGATCAGGCCAATTGAGTAGGATTATCTCCATTTAATGATTTCAGTCCCCCTCCCTCATAGGTAGATACTCCAATCTGGATTTAATTACCACGTGCCTTCAAGTCCAACAAATAGATGTTTGAACACATTAAAGCACACGTAAAACTCATCACGACTGACCATGTAGGGGTTCCTTCCTTTGATATTCAGTGAAAGTTTGGTAATCACTGCCTGAGCATGCAGCCATTACTTAGTAGAGAAAGCATGCTACACTTGATGAGTAGGTGGCTGCCTACAAAGTCTTATTTCAGGAATCTCCCAAAATATTTCTCCACATCTGCTCATTGATATTTCAAATTCCATTAACAGGAACAAAACCTTTCAATCCAAATTAAAATGAGATGCAAGTGACATAGAAATAATAATAGCTAACACATAATAGCATCTACTATGAATAAGATGCTATTCTAAGTATTTTAAATGTCATATATGTGACTGCCATTTGGTTCTGCCTGAGAACAGGATTTGATGGGGGTAAGGAAGAGGAGCTATTAGATTTTAGGTCTCTCAGTACAAAAAATTTGAAATGCACTTGCCAAGTAGGTAAGATGGCCAGAAAACTGCTAAATCCCCAATTATAGTAGGGTCTGAAAATATTATAATTGAGGAAGAATTTCAGTTCTGGTTATTCTTTGTCCTTCAATATTTGCCTCTTCTTATCTTTAGGGGTTTGTAAGATATAATGTGGGCTGCAGTGTAATACATGTGGTCACCTTCAGTGTTCATCAAGGCTAATGTTCTTCCTATAATAAGGGTATTAAGGCATGATTTAGGTGTATTTTGCAACACCATTCTTAACAGTTAAGGATTCACATTTAATAATATATTATGAGTCTGGTTTTTTCTACTTTTTAATGAATTGTTTACTTTTTTGAATTGTGTTTTAAGTTCTGTCACAAAAGTGGCCATTTGAATAGTAATTTGAGAAAAATAGCCACTGTTTTTATCTATTTGAGAAAAATCTTAGAATCCTAAGACTGAAAAGAATCAGGAAGATAGCAAGTGGGTGAACCTTACTCCAACTGTTTTTATTTCTTTTTCTAAGTTATCAGTTAGGGACTCTAAAAAATCAATCCAATGCTTAACAAAATGTGGTTATTCCCTACTATCTCATTGAAACCTTCCCTACTACAGATTAGGGGAATTCCTTGATCTATTGTCAGAGGAAACAGGATTAATATCCAGCTGTCATTCACTCTTCTTCATATATAGCTATTATTGTTTTTTAAAATGTAAAGTGTATATGTTAAAAAAAGATTGATTCTGTGAGGTACTTCTAAAGTCATAGTCAGATGTCCATGATAAAGTTCATTTCTGTTATGTCAGCTGAAAGGACTAATTAATGAAATTGTATTAACTTCAGGGTACACATAATTTATTATGGTTATTGAGATTTTGCACAGAGATATAGTGAAAAGGAATTTGGCTTTTATAGAAGAAGAAATCTTCAAAACAATGAAGGTGGTGGATTGAGGTAGGTGACCTGAGAATTGGGTCAGTTGAGTAAAATGATCTCCATTTGATGGCATTTATAATTTGAAATACCCAGTTTGCCATTTGACTTGATCTGATAATCTTCTCAAGCAAGAAGTGAAAATGTACTCCACTGAATTTGGCATCAAAGAGTAAAAATGATAATAACATTAATTTGACTAACGTTCTAAAACTTTCTTGACATATTACCTTTTTTATAATCTGTTTTAGAGACAGGAGTAGGAATACTCTACCACATACTTGCTATGTACACTTAGTCAAGCTGCTTGAACTTCAATCTTTAATAACCAATTGAAAATGAAGCTAGTACCTGCATTACCAACCTAAACAAGATGATGGTGAGGGACTTGAAATGGGAAGTCATATACAGACTGTCCTATGGGCACAATATACCTCCTCAACCAGATTCAAATATTTCTGAAGGAGGGGCTGTTTAATTATTTATCTTTTTGATTGGCAAAGTATAGCTCATAGTAGACAGGAAAATTTTGTTCGTTTTTATGGAAATTTTACTCAATAATTTCTCCACAGATGATTTATAAAATAAATAAATAGATAAATAAATAATAGAAGTTCATGTCTCACTTTGTTATCAGAGAATTTCAATATGCAAATGGCTATTCAATATTTCTTTTTTTTCTTTTTTTTTTTTTTTGGTACTAGGGATTGAACTCAAGGCACTCAACCACTGAGACACATCCCCAGCCCTCTTTTGTATTTTATTTAGAGACAGGGTCTCACTTTGTTGCTTTGCGCCTCGCCATTGCTGAGGCTGGCTTTGAACTCACAATCCTCTGCCCCCGCCTTCTGAGCTGCTGGGATTACAGATGTAATGTACATTTTTACATTTAACAGTCCTTAAATAATAACAACAACCAAAGATAGTAATCTCCCATAAAAGATACCATCTTACAAATGCAATGCCTTTAAAACTTTAAATATGAAGAAACCTTTAAGATGTCAGTATTGGCCAACTTCCAAGGCAACTCTAGCACAAAAACAGATAAACATATAGAATGTGGTTAATAAATGATTGTTGAATAAATTGCAGTCTTATCTATTGTTCCACCCACCCATTCTTCCTGGACCCCATCAGGAATCTTTATTTATAGAAGTAGTTACTGCTTGGGCAACTAGAGATACCAGAAGCTAGAGTGATTCCTGGAGACTAACCCAGAAACCACAGTCATGGGCCCTTACTGGAGACCTATTGTTCCTGATTAAAAAGAAAACAATGCAATGAGAGCATATTTAGTGTAGTAAAATAATAGCTACCACTAATTTATATATATTTGCAGTGCTGGGGATTGAACCCAGGGTCTTGTGCAAGCTAGGCGAGTGATCTGCAACTGAGCTACTCCCCACTCCTCTTGTTATTTATTGAGTCCCTACTATGTTCACATACTTTGTTCTGGGTCTATTAGTTTCCAAGTCCAAAGTCCCTCACTGTCTTCATTGCAAGGAAAACTTGGAGTATGTATCCCAAGGTCATGGAAACATGAGGAAGGAGCTCTCAACAACATGAGCTGATCTGCAATTTGTGTCATTTGTAGAATGAAAAACTTGAAGTAGATGGCCTCTAGTTGTTTCTATCAAACATGATATATTTCTCTTACCTCATAGACCTAAATACTACCCAAGAAATCTTTTCTTTTTTCCCTCTCTCTTCTTTTCTTTCTTTTCCTTCCTTCCTTCCTTCCTTCCTTCCTTCCTTCCTTCCTTCCTTCCTTCCTTCCTTCCTTCCTTCCTTTCTTCTTTCTTTCTTTCTTTCTTTCTTGGATTGGAGGAACTCAAACATACTTTACCTCTAAGCTACATACTCAGCCCTTTTTATTTTTTATTTTGAGCATGCCAAGCTTCCACCTTAATCTTCAGAGTTGCTGGGATTACAGACATGTGCCACCCACCCAAGAAAAATTTTCTTAAAAAGGATTTCAATATCTTTTTTTGCTGGGGAGCACCAGGGATTGAACTCAGGTAAAACATTCCACTCACATCAGGGGTATTCAACTACTGAGCCACATGCCCAGCCCTATTTTGTTTTTTATTTAGAGACAGGGTCTCATTGAGTTGCTTAGCACCTTGCTTTTCCTGAGGCTGGCTTTGAACTCGTGATCCTCCTGCCCCAGCCTCCTGAGTTGCTGGGATTATAGACATGTACCAGGGTGCCTGATGATTCCAATATCTTTTATTTTCTGGTTTACAGAGACTACAATTAATTATACTAAATAGTCAAGTATGATGATGTATTAAGTTTTTAAAAGTGTTTAAATTAAAGATAACATTTAGGTTGGTGCAGTATTTAGTGTCATATGTTAGATATTGCTAAAACAAAATTTAAATTTAAAATGTGCATTAATTTTTAGGTTGGTTTCTTTAAATCAGTATTTTTGTTTGAGGTTTGTGTTGTCTTTGGTGTGAGGACTGGTCAAAATATGGTGAATTGTGTTATTTTAAACATAATCTGGCTGGCAAATTCACTTACTGAATTACCTCTTCATTTTTGCATTTATCCTTTAAACCCTAGAACAATTTTCTCTTTATTCTAAGATTGACAATGAAGAAATCCATATCACAAAGTATCTTAAGTATTTATATTGAAATGGGACACTGAATTTTATTTAGGGAAAAGATTCTAATTCTTCAATATCTTGTGCCATTTGAGCATTAATAATGTTTTTCAACAAGTCTCTTAAAAGTGCATATAAGCACAAGACTTGCGATACCATGGTAAAAGTGCACTGGATGTCAAGGGAGGACTGACAAAGATAAAGTGATTCATCTTGGAATTCAAGCTCCCCGAGGGCAGGTGCTTTGTCACCATAGACCTACAGGACCAAGGGTTTTGCTGAAGGAGTAAGTTAGGTCTGTCTGTCCTTACCATTGTGGTTGTACTTCGGGGGAATTTCCATTGATGGTGCAGACATCCGTTTTTACCACCTGGATCTCATGTTCATTGTAAGTGGCTGGTTCAGGATTAGATGGCATAAGGTTTATTGGGGTATCGTCTGGATTTTTGTCCTTTGTGTAGCTTTCATTTTCCCAGGGGAAGGAGGCCAGTTTTGGAGAGAATCTGCTCATGGAAAACTTGGGAGAACTCTTAGATTTCTCCACTTCTTTTCCTTCTGAAAAATATAATTGATCAACAGTTAAGATAGAAACATACCTTTTCTTTTGGCTCAAAGCTGAATTGGAAGAAGGAGATTTCGAAGGGTAATTACCCGGGGAAACAAAGAGTCTTGCTGCCGAAACTGCGGTTCCAGCCTCATTTTCTGCAATGCACTTGAACTCCCCAGAGTCTTCAGGAAATGCTTCCGTGATAATCAAGGTGCAGACTTCCTCTGTAAAGGAAAGAAATCCAACTTTATTGGCACATTAGGATGTTCCAAGTTCAAAAACCAAAACTTAGGATGATACCAGGGAGAATGGTGATTCGGAATAGATTTTTGGGAATTAAAAAAAAAAATCTATCCAATTATATATTTTGCCATCTGAGTAGGCTTATGACTATAAATCTCAAAAGTACAACCTAAAACAATCCCTGTATAGTTCTTCTTCCTGGACTCTCAGACATGTCTGTTTTCCCTTTTAGAATGAGGTCCTTGGAAGCCGGGATTACATAGGGATGATAATTACACCTGCCGTCCCAGTGATCAGGGAGGCTGAGGCAGAGGAATCACAAGTTGGAGGCCAGCCTCAGCAACTCAGTGAGGCCCTAACAACTTAGCAAGATCCTGTCTCAAAATGAAAAATAAAAAGGACTGGGGATGTGGCTTAGTGGTAAAGTAACTTTGGGTTCAATCCTCAGTACCAAAAACCCCCAAACCAAACCAAAACAAAACAAAAGCACTTTATTCCTTGACTTCTGTATTTCTGTAGCTTTAGTGCTTAGCATAAAAGTACTATAGAAACATTTTCTGAACCGACCTAAAAATTGTTATTTCCTTGGTACTTAGACCTAATTCTGTGTGATGGACACCCCACTTATAGCTATACAGAGAACGGTTGGGTGTTTGACATCAAGACTGCTTCTGTGTCAAGTTGCTGAGTCACAAATACTAAATCAAGTAGAATTAGAGGGGAATGTTTGGTCTTTGAGGGCAAGGATCTTATCAGTCTGGCTCATTGCTGTCTTCATAGTGCAAAAAAGAACCTATCCATAGTATGTGCTCAGTAAACTTGTTGATGAGTGAATAAATGAATAACTGCACTGACGAATCCCAGGTTCCTTGCTTCTGTTGTTTCAGTTCAGAGCTGGCACAGGGTAGCTCCAAAAGAGTGCGTGAGGGCAACAGTGACTTAGGAGACAAAGGTTATTAATGCTAATTTTGATTTAATTGATTATTAAGATGTTGAAGAATAGTACTTACCAGGAATGGATGATAAACAAGCTTCTGGAAGATAAAACAGGAGAAAAGAGAATTTAAATGATGATAATTAATTTAGTTGGGAGAAGGGGCCATGAATGTATGAGAAATAACCAAAGGCAAAATAAAAGATTGACTTAAGTCTGGAGTCACAGATTATAAATTCAGTAGAAATTCTGAAAATGTGCATAATGGAACGAACGATTGGCAGAGTGCTAGAACTTAATTTTTGTCCTGGTTCTACCACAAAATTGCTCTGTGAATTTTAAAAATTACTTTACTTCTCTAGAACTTAGAACTTCATCTCTAATATGAAATGAAGACTAAATAAATATCTCTTCTCTGGGTGTGAACCATTGGTGAGACACATTTTTTCCCCAAAGAATCATTTTAATTTTTCTGATTAAAATAAAATTGCACATTATATTCTAAAAATATTATAGAAATAATATAGAAAGTTATTTTAAAAGTTTGTAGTACAAATGTTCATTTGTTCTGAATTAATATTTTTAAAATTTATTTTCTTCATTTGCATAAGAATCATCTTGGACTAGAACCCTAGCTTCAGTATTTACTGACTTATTTTCTGGATCCTAATTTTTGCATTTCTGATAGCAGTTTTCTTACTAATAAAATGGGGGTAATAACATGTATCAAAAATGTATTTGGGAGAATTAGACGAAAAGTTGTTTATAAAGCATAAACTCAGACTTTAACATGAGGTAGATCATCATTCTTGCTACCCTTCCGTAATTAATTATTTTTAGAAAAATTATGCAATAAAATATATAGAAAGTTGTGCACCGATTTTCATCCATTTTACCCTTGAAAAAATATGTTTAGTCTCACATTTCTTTTTTGTTTATATGCCAAGGACTCCTTAAGAAGAGAATTAGGATGACTTTATGAAAATAAACCAGTCTTTTCATAGCTATCAAAATTATTTTTTTCCGCTGAGTGCTGCGACATACACCAATAATCCCAGCTGCTGAGGAGGCTGAGGCAGGAGGAGCATAGGAGCCCAGGGGTTCAAGGCCAGCCTAGACAACATAGCCATATGCCACCTCAAAAAAAATGTATTCTTTCATTAAAACAAACAGTTATATTTTCTTTTTGGGTGTGTGTGTGCGTGTGTGTGTTGCTGGGGATTGACCCCAGGGCCTTGTGTGTGCGAGGCAAGAACTCTACCAACTGAGTTCTATCCCCAAGTTGTTTTCGATGAGGAATTATTTGGATTTGAAAAAAGAATTATTTAACAGTAGAAATCATTTAGCCTGTAACACATCAGCTATTGAACTACTTAAAAACATGAATTTGATTTCAAGGTTAAGTAAATGCAACTGAAAAGTTTGCCATGATACTTTTCCTCAGAATCCGGAAGTCATCTGAGCTGGCAATCTGCTCTTTCTCTCTGTACCAGTGAACTTGAACTGAAGACGTGGCCTGCACTCGGCATTCAAACATGACAATCTGACCTCTGGTTGTAGAGATGTCTTGAAGATGCTGAAGAACAGAAACAGAGTTCGCTGAAAGGAAGAAGCTCCTGTACCATGTGCCACCTGCAGGACATGTGCACACTTTGGCAACATCACTGTTGAGCACTGACTGCATGTTAGGCAAAACGAGGAGCGGCTGGGCATTGTTTGGGGCCTGGTATTTTACAGTCAGGTGTAAGTCATTTTCATCTTAACTTCATAGTGTTCAATAAAAAAAATTGTTCACTTCAGAGCCATTTTTTCAAATTAGCAAAGAGATTAGTGTGAAACGCCTTTGTTGTGATGAATTTGATTATTTTGTGGAGTACGTATCTAGTCACAGATTTGGTCTTTATTATTTTGTTTATGGTAGTATGGACTATATTGTTGTTTGTGAAAGCCCCTGAATCATGAATTACAGGACCTGGGCCAGAATTTCAACTGTCACTGGCTGGTGGAAGCTGGTCCTAGGAACGTAGAAAAGACTCAGCCTCTGTGGAACTCAGGTTCTTTGTGAAACAGGGCTAGCAAAATGCACATCCTACCTGGAGGTTTTGAGGCTCATTTCATATAAATAATCTAAAAACTTTCTGTGAGGTCTAAAAGTTATATTGACATATAAGATGTGTTTATCAACCATAGCTAGTTCAGTCTCATGGTGCACAAATGAGCGAGTGAGTGGTGTTGGTGGTAAACCTATATCTTAAATCCAGATCCCTCTTCCTTCCCTACCTGCAACCCCAAGGTCCTCTAAAACCTAGAATTACATTCCAGATTATAACTTGGTTCTGAGGCCAGAGAAGGATGTATCTAGATCCTCTGTCAGACCTACATGAGACCTAAGGACAGCCTAACCTTGACACCTGCTGACAGATGTGTGCCTTATGAGGAGGAAATGCCGGTTAAATCCTGGCCCTGCTTTTCATGCTTTGGGCCAGCAGTGGGCAGTGGTTCCGGTTCTGTTAGATTTCATAACTAGGAAACTGACCAGAGAAGGCTCAGGTCTAGTTTTGTTTTAACCTATGTGATTGAATTCAGATGTTTTCAGTGGATGGCTGGGGAAATAGTGGCCTCTGACCATGACCTAAGCAGGAAGTAGCTACTACCTTGCTGGTTGACTCTATCAGAAGGGCATCTTATGAATCACTGGGAGAATTCGTCTGTATCTTGAGGTCTGGCAGAGCATAGACTCCTTAGAAAGGATGGTCTAAGCATTGTTTTCCAGAGCTAGAGGACTGACACAGAGCAAAAGTCTAAAGAGCACGGGATAAACCGAGAGTTGCTCTGGGACATCGAGCCGATCTTTTTACTCTTTCCTAGTCTCAGTTTTCTCCTATATGAACTGATAATAATCTCTGAAGTCTCTTCTGGTTTCTCTTTCTTTCTTCTTACTCCTTCAATAAAGTCTACCATTTTATCTATAAAATCCAAATTCTGTCATGCAGTACGGATAGGTTACCTTGGTGAACACAGGGGCCACAACATAAATGGATCCTGACAGGCTACTGCAGGGGCTCTGCATCTGTGTTGGGGAATAAAAGAGAACATAATGCCATCATCCATTTTATCAAGGCCCCCAAACCCAAGTACTTAGTGGCCATAAACTAACTGCATCCGTTCTAGTTACTATGAACTAGTCCAGTTTTAGCCACTACCCACCCTACCCTGAGTTTCCTTTTTGGAAAGGATGAGACTTCTAATTTAAATGTCAGTTTGGATGTCTGCTCTGACCCCACCCTTTCTTCTTTTTCTTCCAGCATTCCATCAGCGGAGACGATGAAATAGAACACTGGGCAATTGCCTTTGAGAAATGGTTATTGGCACACACTTAGAGACTGCATGTTAAAGGTTTAAATAACTTCTAAATTTTACCGACTAAATTTTTTTCTCCCTTCATACAGTAGCTCTTCTGTTAGGAACTGTTGCTCTGGTTTGGCACACAGACAAATGGCCAAGTCATAGAGCTGCCCTGGAGTTATTCCTGACACCCATGAGTTGCCTTTCCTGTTCCTTCTGAGGTTGTGTAGATGGAGCTGTTCTCATGCACGCTTTTAAAGAAAGTTGTATCAACTTTTTTCTTGACCTCAGCCTCCATTACTGGTACCCTCTCAGAAGGTTTCATTTTAATGAAACCTACCCTCTGGGGGTCAATACACAATGGTTGAACTAACGTAGAATAACTTGATCTGATGTTGGAGTTTTCATTAACTGGAGAACTGATGGTCAGAGAAACTCTAGTGGTTTTCTTCTTTATCCTGTGGGGAAATCAAAAGCAAACAAAACCCAGTAAGAGAAAGATTCAAGGTGACTTTGACAGCACAGCCTTACTATATACTTTTGAATGTAGCACATATTTTTGCTTATATTTCTTAGTTTTCTCTAGATTTTAGTAATAATTTCAATGCCTTTCCCCCCCTTGGAAATAGATTATTAGATAATTATATCTCCAAATAATTTCACTTTAAATTTTCTTTGCCTTAATGTAGTAATCAATGGACTATTGTGAAATAAATTATCCAGAAGAAATAATTCATAAAGCAAATAGACACTTCAGAGTTTCTCTGGGAAGTCTTAGGGTATTTATTTTTTAAGTGGAATTTCTCCTATAGTCATATACAACAAATGCACATCCACATGTGATTCTGTGCTTACTCTGACATGTCTGTTGCATATTCCAAGCACACTTCCAGAGATGACACTTTTTCTTACTTTCTTGGGCACCTACATGAAATAAAAAAGAAAAGAAACTCTGTCTAAATTTTGCTAGCATTTCATAAAAATAGGTTAAGTATATGGTATTTAGGACCAGCAAGTTAGTTACAGAGAGCAGGTTAATCCAGAACATTGGAATTCTTAAGGATGGAACATTCTCAGTTCGAAAAGTCCAGATGTTTACCTTTACACAATTATAAAGCTTGTACCTAGAAAAGGTGTTGAGTCATTTCTCAAAAACATCATTTCAAAGGATGCTATGGCTTTTTCCTTCTGAAACTCAGGTTGAAATTTGATTGCCCTTGTAAGGGTGTTGGAAGGTGGGGCTCTTAAGAGGTGATTAGGTCATTAAGAGGAATTAAGGCCTTTCTCAAAGGATTAGTCACCCCAATAGTGGGTTGTTGTAAAGTGAGACTGACCCTTGTGTTTTGCTTCTTCTGCATGTGCCCAGTACCCCTTTCAATTTCAAATATGTTTTGAAGCACCACAAGGACTTTACCAGAAGTGGCTACTCAATCTTGAATTCCCCTGCCTCCAGAACTGTGAATCTGAATAGACATCTTTTGTTTATAAATCATCCAGTCTTAGGTATTCTGTTATAGCAACCAAAAACAGACTAAGACAGAAGACATAGATTCATGTCTGTGAAATTATGTCTGTGAAATTATGTTTTGATCTGAGGCCTACAGCATATTTGTGATAAGGAATCCATTGAAATACCTTGTAGTGTACCTTATTGAAACACCTTGTTGTACTTACAATAAGGAAGAATGCTGTCTTGGTTTTGGGGGGCTACCATGACAAACTACCTTAGATTGATTGATTGAGTAGCTTATAAACAATGCAACTTTATTGCTCACAGTTTTGGAGGCTGAGAAGTTCAAGATTAAGGAGCCAGCAGATGAGATGTTCAGTAAGGGTTCTCTACTTTGTAAATGGTGCCTTGTTGCTGCATCTTCACATGGCAGAAGGGTTAAGGGAACTCTCTGGAGTCTCTTTCATAGGGATATTAATTCCATTTGTGAGGTTAGATCCCTTCTGATCTAACCACTTCCCAAAGATCCTAACTCTTAATACCATCACAATGAGTATTGGATTCCAACAAATGAATTTTAGGGGAATATCAACATTCAGACCATAGAAGATGTTGCCAATGTTCTTATAATCTCTGTGATGATTTTCTAGAGAAATGTATCTCATTTGTTAGTATCAGGAATAATTGGGCTTCTCCCATGTGATAAGTTTAGTTTCTCTTCATAGACACTGTGAATCTTAGTATTGGTATGTTTCTTTCTGTGTTAGCTACTTGAAAGTTTAGAGTTACCTTCAGAATCAATAGTTCTACAGATATGAGAGTTAGGATCTTCTGGACTTGTAAACTGATCCTTTAAAAATAAATCTGTATCTAGGGTAATTTATTTCCCTAAACCAACATTTAGATCCCATGGCTCCACAAAGAACTTTTATGTTATTACCAGGACAGGTAGATTGGAAGATGTAGATTAGCTTTCATAACAATATATTATATTTTCATGAAAGCTATTAGTTTATAGAAATGGAATATTTAAAATTAGTTAAGATTTAAAATTGATATTTAAAATTATAACGATTTCAGACCATGAAGTTATTTTATACCATGATACTTTAATGAAAAAAATTAGCTCCCCCTTTAGTGTTAATTGTGCATATTGTGTTTGACATTATCATTGGGACTAGATTTGTCTAATCTCCTCCTAATCTTAATACATAAATCCCTTCATACTCATGACTTTTTTCAGTCTTCAAAAACTCCTGATCATTTTGAAGTTTTATGACCTGATATCAGCTTGCTAATTGTTTTAGACAACAATTTAGGTGATGTACAAGATTTGCTAATACTACTTCATGTTTTATTTCTTAAGGTGGATAGTGGCTACAGAACATACATTTGGGTTTTTTAAAACTATATATATATATATATATATATATATATATATATATATACAAACATATATACAGTTTATATATATATGTATGTGTATGTATACACATGCACACATACACATATGTTTACTCCTTTGCATAAAGTATCTCATAATACATTTGTAAGATTAAAAGTAAATCTATGGGCTGGAGCTGCATATTGTTTTTATTTTTGTAAGAGTTGATTAGTTACCTTTTCCTTCTTTCTTTCTTTTCTTTTTTTTTGAGTACAAAATTGTGCACAAACAGAAAGAGCACATACCTTTTAGGCTCTACACAAGGTGGATTCAAACCTAAAAGAGTTGCATTTACTTGGCTTGGATCATTTTTCTAATGAATGAAAACTTCACAAACACTCAAACTCTTGAAGTGGTGAATGCTTTCGGATACCTTCTATGCCAGGACTCCAGGAGCAACACAAAAGAGTCTGGAGTTAGTTGACACAGTTAAATTATATGAAGCTTGTTTTAGTCAGCATTTTTGTCACTGTAACCAAAAGAGCTGACAAGAACAATTAGAGGAGGAAACATTTATTTTGGCTCATGGTTTCAGAGATTCAGTATGTGATGGCTGACTCCATAGTTGTAGGCCTAAGGTGAGGCAGAACATCAGGGTGGAAGAGTGTGGAAGAGGAAGATAGCTCAGGACATGGCAGTCAGAAAGCACAGAGTGCTCCACTCACCAGAAACAAAATATATAACCCAAAGGCACAGCCCCAGGGACCTACCTTCTCCAACCACACCCTACCTGCCCAGTTAATTCGTATCAGTGGATTAAGCCATTTATTGAGTTGTAGCTCTCAGAATCTACTCATCTCACCTCTGAATATTCTTGCATTGGTCTCACACATGAGCTGTTAAGGGACTCCACATATTCAAACCACAGCAAAGCTCAATAATGCAAGATATACATAGTAATAATCTAAGTTTCACGATAAAATGCCATAAGACATCAGTAAGATTAATATCAAAGGACATTAGGTAGTGCCAGTGACATCATGAGCAAGCACATGATTACCTCACAGGATATTTGAAGTAGATGTTTGAAGTAAATAAGGAACAGAAGCTCAGTTGGTCTAAAAGCACTTCTTGCACAGGGTAGATCTTCAACTGAACTTTGCAGAATGTTTAAAGTTGGAAAAGGAAGTACATGGATGTGAATGAGGAATAGGGTTTGGGAACAAGTGGCAGTGAAGGATAGAGGATTTAGAAGGAAGGAAGCAAAAGTTTGAAACACTAAACTATGTGCCATGTACTGTGCTATCCCTTTATCTCATATGTGGGAAAGCTATCCATAGCCATTAAATGAAGTTAAGAACTCTGGGGTTGCTTGCCTGGCTGTACCATTAGGTACCTTAGACTTTCCTGGAAATCTATAACAGGAAAAAAAGATCTGTATCAGGAAAAATAGTGTTGTTTATTTCTAGGGTTGTTTTGAGGATTAAATAAGATATCCCATAAATCACTTAATTCAAATATGGCATATATCAAGCACTCAATAAATGTTAGTTGCTATTATTATTGTGATGGTGGTTAGAGATCCAGGTGATATTCTGCCTTTCCTCAGAGGATTCTAATCTAGTTCTTGGTTTTTTGCTCTCATGTAAGCTTAGAACCTTGTATTGTAATAATACACTTTTATTTTTAACCATTTACTATCATATACTTTTGTTTGGAAGCTTCTTAAGTTCAGGGATCTTTTTACATGTCTACCATCCCCAAAGTATATAGTCTCACATTGAATACATAATAGGTACAGAGTTGATTGGTTTTATTGATTTATTTTATTGGTTTTTTTTTTTTTTTTTTTTTTTTTTGCAGTGATTAGTTTTCCTAGGAGGCGAGTGTTGCTTTGTGGTGTTTCCCTCAATCCAACCCCACACATAAAAGCAACTGATGCAGAAGAATTTCTCCTCTTTTGACCTTGGCAGTAAGTCCTAACACTGCATAACCTATGTACAATTAATTAACCATAGAATTGTAGACCAAGAGAAGGCATGAGAAATCTTTTTGTCTGGTATTTTTATGCCATTTATCTGGTATCAGAGAGGTGATATTATTGGCTCAGGTCATACAAACTGTTGGTAGAAGACTCAGGATTAGAATATAAGTCTCCTATCTTTCAGTGCAATCCCTACAAGCCTATGCCATTGGGCTTTATTACCATATATGTTTGAAACTATGGCCATTAGTCTGTAAAGTTGAAATTAGAGCCAGGCATGATGGCACATGACTGTAATCCCACTGGCTCAGAAGGCTGAGGCAGGAGGACCATGAGTTCAAAGCCAGCCTTTACGACTTAGGCCCTAAGCAACTCAGTGAGACCCTGTCTCAAAAAAGGACTGGGGATGGCTCAGTGGTTAAGTGCCCCTGAGTTTAATTCCTGGTACCAAAAAATTAAATTAAATTAAAAAAACCCATAAAGTTGAAATTAGTTTTCTTGTTATCAGATTAGAGTGTATTTATAATTTTGAATTTACTAGGTAATACAACAGCCATTTTACTTAATGTAAACTCCATGAGGTCAAAGACAGTCTATTTTGCTCATTCCTGTATCTCTAGTGCCTAGAATAGTGTCAGACAAGAGGTGAAGAGTAAATATATGATGAATGAGTGTGTTTTTGTTAGCAGTATTGGTTGAGATTTCAGCTGAGAATGTTTTTGACTTGAGAATGTCTAGCCTTCAAGTAGCAAAGTCTAGAGAGAAACCCAATAAACAACAGGGAAATTGGCTGTGGCAGGAAGATAAAAATGTAATGCTTCCCCCCATGGGAAGAGAGGGATTAAGTGAGAGAATGTGCATGAAACTTCTGGAACTTCTTGGAAGAACCACGCTTTATAAATAAATATAAGGTCATTTGGTGCAAGAGGCTAAAATTTCCTCTAAGCTCCTTGGCATTCTTAAAGGAGAAGCTGGAAAATATTAACAGAATTGTTTTGGTGGTGAGTGGGATTCAGGTTTTACCACTGGAAATTGTCCTATGCCCCTAGGCTAATGAGAAAAACAACAAGAACAAAATCTAATCTTATCCAAGGGAAATCATGAGGGGGGG